AGAGAGAGAGAGAGAGAGAGAGAGAGAGAGAGAGAGAGAGAGAGAGAGAGAGAGAGAGAGCATTGACAGTGTTGCCCGTCTGAAGACTCTGACGTTCTGAATTGAACTGCAATGTTTGAACTTTTAAGTTGTGTATGAAGTTATGAACTTAAATTACTAAATCCAAAGTTCAAAGTTCAAAGTTAATCATACTTTTTTCAAAAAACAATTCTCTGTTTCTTTAGTCTTGTGCYTGCTTTGCASTGTTTGCAACTCTGCATGTCTGCTAGTTAAATGTGTTTGTTGATTTGCTGCAAGACACGTGCTCTGCTGCCTGAACTACAAAGTGTTGCCGGCACACTTCGACCTCATGGGGGTAACGAAATGCTGGCGAAATTTTTGAAAAATCCAACACTTGGTTTCTCTTCACTCTCCTCCTCCCCTTTATTTATTTGTTATTTATTTATTTTTATTTCTTTATTTCTTTATTTGAAAGTTATAATTTGTGGCATTTTGAACCTTAGTGTGCTTATCTTGGTCTCTCCTTCCTCTTGGCACGTGTTTGACCCCATGGGGGGTAGCGAAGTGCTGCCGAAAATTCCAAAAAAACAAATATTCTTTCTCCACATTTTGCTTACTTATTTCGTTAATTATTTTTATTATTTATTTTTTTTTATCTCGAAATTTCACTGTTTATTTTTTTTTTCTTTCCCTCTCCCCTCCATGGTTGTTATTTTCTTTTCTTGATAAGGTCGCCGCTACCCTACCCTAACCACCCAAACTCCGGTTAGGTATTTCGTAGGGTTTTTCTAGGGTTTAGGGTTCTCCTAATCCCCTCCTCTCCCGCCTCCTCCCGTCGGGCACCCTGGACCCGAACGGCTCCTCTCCCCTCGATCGGATTTGTGCCACCCTCTCACGCGCGGCCCGCTGGTCACGAGGCGAGCCGACTCAGGACTACCCACTCCGTTCCCACGGTCCCCTCCCTCTCACTGGTGGTCCCCTGTCCTCACGCCACAAACCATCTCTTTCCCCACCTCTTTCTCCACCTCCCGCCATGTCTACCCCCATACGTCCATCGCCCTCGGACAGGACTACACCCGGGGAGATTGTCGTGGCGTCCTCCATCTCCTAGGCGCCCACCCACCCGACGGTCTTGGGTCGGACCTTTGTGGACCCCATGGCCCTTTGTGTTGTTCTTGCGTCCCTCCTTGCACCTTTGCAAGCACGGCTCGATGCGCTTGCACCCCTGGAGGGGCAAGTAAATGCACTCGCCCTTGAAGTTCACCGCCTCAAGGGTTTTCCTCATCGCTCTCCCCACCGCTCACACACTCCATCCCCTACCGGCTCACAGTTCGGCTTCCCACGACTCCAGACACAGAGACGTGGTGGTTTGTCCTCCCCAGCGGGTCAGGCCCAACACTCCCCTCCGCAGTGGTGAGGGCCGCTGCCGCTCAGATGATACCATCTGTTGCAGCACACCCATCAGCCCCTGCCGCCTCTGTCGCTTCGGCCACTACCGTCGATGTTGCTGCCTAGATACCGATATCTGGCCAAAAAGTTTCACCTACTCACCCAGTATGGCTTACCAGCTTTCCGCTTCGGTCCCAACACTACGGACCGGAGTCCTCTCTCTTCCCATCCTCTCCTCACTCTCACCTCAAGGTCCCCTACTGTTCGTTACTCCTCCCGCTACGGTACCCTCTCCTCCTCCTCCACCTCCGACCCCATGCACCCACAAAGTGGCGACCTTACAAGCCACCGTTGCACAGCTCCAGGCGGAGATTCTCTCCGTGACACAGCCTCACCCTTCACAGGCGGCTCACCCTTCTTCTTCTTATACCGCCCCTCCCACCTCTGTCTTGCTGGCTTGTTTCCTTCGACCGACTCCTCCCCCTTTACCCTCCTAGCTCGTCATTCGTCACAACTGGTTGTGGCCATTGCCTCCACCTCTGTTGGACCTTCCACCAGCAGCCTCGGCTCACAGCCTGCCACCACTTTCACCCCTGCACCGGCCCCGTCATTTGCCGCCACAGTGCAGGCCCATCAACCTCCCTCCCTCCGCCGTCAGCACAAAGGTCCCACCCTTGTACGTTTGTCGGATATACCCGACTACGGTGGAACACTTCGTGTGTCATATTGGCTGCAAGCTGCCACACGTGCGCTGGCATTGACTAACACTAGTCAGGAGTTATGGTGCTCTATGGTCGCAACCAATTTGCGAGGCAGCCCGTTTTCCGCATGGGCGAACTATTATACCCATCGTACTCGCTTTGGTGAGCCTCCCAGTCTCGCGGATTTCACCGCGTTCCTTCATGACCGCTATGGCACTCTCCACGACGTGACCGACGCCCTAGATCGGGTCACACACACGCAATGGCGCAGGCCCTCCGCACCAGCAGACCTAGAGCGCCACATCCGGGTGTTTCAAGACGTCCGCCTCATTTGCGATGAGGCACTCCTACCGGAGGTCCTTTTGACCAATAGGTTCGTCGCCAGTCTTCCGACTGACTACTGCGTCGAGCTTTGGCGACAGACCTTCGTCTCCTCAGAGCAGGCCTACGAGGCTGCTTGACAATACCAGAAGATGCGGAGTCGCTTCTCCGATGCCCATCTTCTTCGCGATCCACCGTCGCCGTCACCCAGCCACGCGGTGCTACTCGCGATCGATCCTCTTCCGCCGGCCGCTTTTGCCGACCAGCTCGACCTGGAGTGCCATTCTCAAAGCGCTACAATTCTCTCGAGTATGCGAGGATGCCTCAGCTGAGCTCGACCCTACCTTTGGGGATGGCCCCGAGGACATCGAGCTTCGGGACGTCATCCAATACCACTTGGATGATGACACTGTCCCAGTGGCCGAGCGCTTGCAGATGGCCATGTCCGCCATGGGTCATGCATGCAGTCGAGTTACTCAGGCTGGCGCCCGCACGTTCGCCGTCCCTCAGATAGACCTCCCGCATGGTTTCGTCCCTCCTTGCGGAGCTCTATCCCCTAAGGAGCGCGTCGCTCTCGAGGCCCGTCTTGGTCGCCTTCATTGCCGCCAGGATGGACACACCTCCTCACGGTGTCCATACCATGCCGCCCTCGATCGGCACTATGTTGACATTTCTTGTCAGCGCCGATCTCAGTCCCCCTCCGGCCCCACCCGGCCAATTCCATCCAGCTAGCCATGGTGCAGTGTACCTCTGAGGCCTCGCACATAGCCAGCTTCCCGACCACCGAGTCACGGTTTTCCCGTTTGGCTGCCCCACCAGAGGATCCTCAGGACGTGACAGACGAAGTTCCCTCTGCCCCACCGTCTGTAGAGGTACCGTCTGCCCCACCGCAGACCGCTGCATCTAGTTCTTCCCCTCGGAGACTTTCGACACGTCGCGCCATTCGCACAACTCCTTGCAACACTCAACTGACGACTCACGATGATGTTGTGTCATCTCTCCTGGACTTGAGCATTCTTCAGGCTCGTTATGAGCAAATCACAAGACACGTAAACGTCATGCGTCGTCTTCTCACTCTGCTCTCTGACCCTGATCGCATCGTCCCCATCATTCCTATCCACTTGGGGACATCTATGAGGGTGTACTGTGCTTTATGGGACTCCAGCTCGCAGGGAGACTTCGTTCACCCTCACATGGTTGAGGAAGCTTGTCTAGCTACCTCCGGGTATCGCTCTCCTGTCTCTGTTACCCTCAGAGATAACAAGACACAACGCTTCTTCGATTAGATGGTCCCCGACCTCCACTTTTCCCTCACCCTCCAGCCATCGGATAGTACCCATGCGCCTTGGCGCTACCATTCCTCCGCATACTTCGGCGTGCTGGAGACTGGGTACGACTTTATCCTTGCCACTCCCTGGTTTCACCGGTTTGGTGGCACAAAGGCCGAATGGGCGACCGAGACACTCATTCTCAAAACGAAGTGTGGTCAGACCCATCGAGTTCCTTTGCTTGGAACCACGGGCAACAACCCTCCCGACCTACCTCCCCAGGACTCTCGTTCCTCTGGGTCCCACCCAGACATCGCCATCACTTCTCCTCATCAGTTTGCTCATTTCATACGACAGGAGGACGTCACGTTCTACTCAGTGAACGTCATGGATCTTTTCTGTTGTGATTCACTATGCCCCGAGGTTGAGCTCATCTCATTGGAGCCCGATCCCCCTGACCCTTCCTCCATCTTGGTGGCTCCCATCTCTACATCCATTACTTAGCCTGCGGATACCCCCTCGACATTCCAGGCCCCTATGCCGTCCACTGCCGAATCCACACGTACGTCTCGTGCCGACGTAGACATTGAGGAACTCACACGGTTCACGACCGACTTAGAGACCGCCGTTCGCGATCTGATTCGAGAGTACCGCGACATTGTCCCCTCGTATTTCTAATACAGTGGAATCCCTCCGATGCACGATGTTGAGCATTTTATCCAGCCCATGCCGGACTATCGTGTCCACCATCAGGCACCCAACGAACTCTCGATTCCAGAGGTGGCGGAACTCTTTCGACTAGGTTTCATTAAACCCAATAACTCACCTTAGGGTGCACTCGTCCTCTTTGCTCACAAAGCGGACGAAACTCTTCGCCTCTACATTGATTACCGTGGCCTTAATTGTTACACGGTTAAAAACAATTATCCCATGCCTCGCGCAGATGAGCTGTTTGACCGTCTGGCCGGCAACCGCTTCTTCACGAAGATCGATCTTCGTAGCGGTTACCACCAGATCTGCGTTGCCACAGAGGACCAGTCGAAGACCACCTTTTGGTCGCGCTTCGGCCTCTACGAGTTCTCGGTGATGCCATTCGGCCTCACCAGCGCACCTGCCACCTTCCGGACGATGATGAACGATATCTTCAGGGACATCCTTGAAGAATATGTTCTCGTATACCTGAACGATATCCTGGTCTACAGTCGTACCTTAGAAGATCATCTCAGACAGCTCCGCGATGTCCTACAGCGTGTACGCAAACATGGCTTCTATGCCAAACTCAGTAAGTGCCGCTTTGTCCAGCACAAAGTGGACTTCCTAGGACACTACGTGTTTGAGCAGAGTCTCCACATGGACGACGCAAAGATCACTGCTATTGTGGAGTGGCCCGTCCCCACATCCGTCAAGCAACTTCGTAGTTTCCTAGGCCTTACTAGTTACTATAGTAATTTCATTCGGGGATACGCTAGGAATTCCTACGTCCTTACCTCCACCCTCCTCCAGAAGAACCTGTCGTGGTTTTGGACACCCCTCTGCGAGGATGTCTTTCGCGCCCTCAAGAAGGCAGTGACTTGTGCGCTGGTTCTTCGCCTTCCCGATTTTGACCGTCCCTTCATCATCACCACTTATGCGTCAGATTTTGCAGTAGGAGTTGTACTTTCTCAGGTGTTTCCCTCTCCTCTTGATTCACCTTATCCCCATGTTCCTCCTCCCCCACCCCCTCGTGCTGACACTTCTTCTCGACTGACGCCTATCCTCCCACCATGTCCCCCCACTGACAGTTCTCCCGTTACTTACTCCCCAACCATCTCGGAGGATGGGAGTGTCAAGGCTCGTGCTGCGGATCGCCCGATCGCTTTCTACTCCCGTCCGCTACTGTCTGCCGAGATAAACTACACTGCCGATGAATGTGAGGTTCTCACATTAGTTTATGCTACCTGACATTGGCGTCATTATCTGCACGGGGCGCCCTTCACGGTGCGCACGGACAACTCAATTGTTCAGGCTTTCCTCATGAAGCCCAAGCTTTCCCCTCGATAGGCACTGGTGGCGTGATTTATCCGAGTTCAGTTTCACCACTCAGCCCATCAAGGGTGAAACGAACCGCATCGCCAATGCCTTGTCCCGCCGTCCTGATCACAATCAGGAACCCATCCATCTTGCTGCCATCTCCATCACCATTGATGATCAATGGGTGATCGACGCATATCACACTCGGTACCGCCACTGCCCGGATTGTCGCATCATTCCACACGACACTGCGGAGTGGCAAGACCGTTTCTTCATACTCCCTCGGTGCAAACGGTCTCGTGTACTGGCATGGCAGATCTGGTCAGCTAGAACCAAGTATTTGCGTTCCCTCCACTGGACAGCTCCGCGTCTAGGTCGTTGCAGAGTTCCATGACCAGGCAGTTGCCGGTCATATGGGCTTCCACAAGGCATTGGCTCGTGTTTGCCGCCTACACGTCTGGCCGAAGTCCAAGGACTTCGTCAAGACCTACATCCAGGAGTGTCCTACCTGCCAGGAGGTGAAGAGTGCGAACCACCTTCTGTATGGGTTACTTCAACCCCTACCCATACTTGCGGGGCGTTGGCAGTCCGTCTCGATGGCTTTCGTTGATCTCCTTCTTCCACCCACTGAGCACGGTCATATTGTTATCTTGGTTATCGTCGATCGCTTCACAAAGCGTGCACGTTTTGTCCCGTGCCGCTATCACATTAGCACTCGTGAGGTCGCCGATATCGTCTTCGACCAAGTCATGACAGAGCATGGCTTACCTCAGAGCATCATCTCCGACCGTGACTCGCGCTTTACCAGCACATTGTGGCGACGCCTACACGAGGCGTACGGATCCCAGCTCCACTTGTCATCGTCTTACCACCCTCGGATGGATAGTCAGACTAAGGTCACCAATAAAACTCTCAGTAATATCCTCTAAAAGTTTATTAGGGATAACCAACAGTGAGACTTACACTTAACGCACGCGGAGATTGCATACAACCACGCCGTTTCGCCAGCCATGGGGAGGTCGTCATTCTATTGCGACCTCGGCTACCACCCTCGCGTACCCGTCGATTTCCTACAACCATCGCGGTTACGCCTAAACACTCGTTGTCGTGTGCTTGACGACCGGATCACCCACATGGCGGCGATAATGAATCGAGCACACGAGAGTCTAGCCGACTACCAGACTCGCACGGCCGCATGAGCGAACCGATCACGAATGGATCAACCATTCAAAGTCGGTGACGATGTGATCGTCGACGCACGCCACTTGCAGCTCAAAGCGGATATGCGTCGCAAGTTCAGGGGTTGCTTCTTCGGTCCATGCCGCACTCTTCATGCTGTCAGTTTGGATACTGCCGCTAGTTCGGTAAACTTTCATGTGAAGCTACCCGATTACCTTCGAGGGGCTTGCGTACACGATGTTTACCATGGCTCCTTGCTGCGTCCTTACCGCATACCGTCCGAGCGCTTCGCCAGACACCCTTATGAGCGCCCTCCACCTATCATGGTAGATGGTCACGAGGAGTTCGTCATTTCCGACATCATATCTCATCGAGTTACCGACAATACCCCTCCACGCATCGAGTACCTTGTGCGTTGGAGGGGCTATCCTGATGAGGAGGCTACTTGGGAGCCCCTCGAACACTTGGAGCACGCCCGGATGTTGGTGTGTGCGTATGATCGTGATCGTCGTGATGAGACATCTGCTCCTACTCAGTCGACTGACCCTCTTCCTCCTCCTCCAACTGAGGAGATTGTCGAGGACGAGCCCGCTCCCTTTGCGGCCATTCTTCAGCAGCAGACGGACGCCTCTGCGCGTCCACAACGCACTCCTCGATTCCCTCGGCGTCTCGACGACTGACACTTTGATCACCTACCTTCTCCCTACTGATTCACACCTTCGGGTACTCCATCATCAACTTCTTCAGGATGTCATCGTTTTGTGGCTCTGCTTCAACATTGATTCGACTCCTACTTAATCGACGTCATCGACCTCTTCGATGACTTCAGTTATGTTATCGTCTTCAACTACTTTGGATGTGACTACTTCACCCCATCACCCTACCCTGTACATTCCCTTGCATGTGTCGCATGATGGTTCTCACTTAGCTGGGTCTCTCTGAGTTGGGCTCTCCTTTGGTATCCCATAGGCATTGAGACCGTAGCGTTATCTTGGCTTCCCTGCTCCTCGATCTAGCTCCCTCCCCCAGTCGGTGAGTTGTGTGCATATTTCCCTCACCCACTGCATCCCTCATCACCCTAGTGCCATTGCATGCCTTCAGTTAGGCATATGTCCACCCTATTCTGGGTTCCCCTTTCATGGACGACCCTGCATGGTGTCACCCTTTCGTCGAGCATTACCCACCTTGACGGTCTATCTGTAAGGGTCATTGTTTTGCTTCACTACCACTCCCTCACCCTGAGCCTAATGACCTATCCCACCTTCGTGTGTGACTGCCCTTAGGAGTTTCGATTCTTATGTTGCATTCACCCCTTCTGAGACCATCCCACTCTTAGTGGTTGAGCGACTTGACATTACTTGTGACATATTGCTCTCTTTTCCTTTCAGCACTGAGGCAATTGCCTCCAAGACTTAAGAATTGTATCTTGCTGCATGCCATTTTCTATTGTTAGTTAGGATGTGTATACCAGACATTTGCTTTTCATTTAACACTATGTAGCTTAGGGTGCATCGCATGGACTCCGCATCCTAGATTTCTCAGCTTTCTTTATTGCAGAGTTTCGTTGGTTTTATGGATAGCGTGTTTATGGCTCTTGCGATCCACTACAGGTTTGAGGATCGTGCAGCGGGCCTCTATCTGCCCTGGCCTACAGTCAAGGCCTATCGGGCTATTTGCATGTTCGGCGACCAGGCTGTGCGTGGCCCGACTCCACAGGCCGTGTGCTCTTTTCAGTCCAGTCCAGTTCTGGCCGGTACCATTGTCGGTACCAGGTCAGTCCAGTCCAGTCCAGTCAGTCCGCTTGGGGTACACCCCAATTATTATCTGTTTTCGATTCATTCTTCATTCTACATATTTTGGAGTACGTGTGTGTTGAGTCTGCGTCGGAGTTGCGTTGTCCCTTCCAGCTCCATCTTCATCTCCTCCTTCCGCAACCCTCCGTCTTCATCCTAACGGAGCGGCATCCCGGCGGGTCCGTCATATCCCAAGTGCGACTCTGCGCTGGTCGACTAGGACGGTTCATCTAACCATGCGATACAACTCGCCATCTAACCACGCGATACAACTCGACAAAATAAAAACCTAGTTTCACACATAAATCGTGCCTAGTCCATTTTTGTATCTGACCCATAACCTTTTAATGACAATATACTCGAATGACACTCGCAATATTCTAAACAAATGTCGCAGCGACATAGGCTTTGTCATATTGACTAGCCATGCATGAATACACAAGCAGTCGTAGTGATGGCGTACTATGTGGTATCTATAATCATGTGATCCTCAATGGCTTTAAAGGTCGCTTTCGACACTCAAGTGTTGGATGACACACGTCTTGAGGAGTTAATCTCTCGACGCTAGACAATCGCGAAGACGATTGCGAGTTCTACCCTCTTTTGCACCCTGCGCAGACGAGTGGTAGGCGGGCCTTGGGCGTTTGTGGCGGCCAAACGCCTCTGACCGTGAGAATGAGGCTCCATCACCGAAGGCCGGGAAATAGGTCAAGGGGTTTGACTTTGATAGTCGCTACGGACATTAACGTCCAAATGTAAAAATTCTAAGAAGTGAAAAATAAAAGAGATCTTCCTTTTCTCTTAGTATAAATCTGTTTGATCACTACGCACGGAGAGGGTGAACTGCGCGGATACACAAAAGATATATACAATAGGGTTATTGCATTGGGACTGTCCAAAATACTGGGACCACATGAGACTTATCGTTGAGAACACCCTCCTAAAGGGTTATCTCACTTAAGTCTTTTCAGTGGACCCGTTTCGGACATTTGGGGAAGGACGTGGATCGTTGCTCAGGAGGAAAGGCACAATTTGTGGCGCTCGGAGCCACAACTTTTTTGATTTTAATGGCGGTTATCTTTTATTTGATTGGGATATTACTCGGCTTTCTTGAGTGAGCCGATTCGAACTTCATTCAAGGTCAGTTGTATGACTCAACTTCCTCTCACTCCCGCGTGAATACACACTTTGCTTGACCCAGTTTGTTTTGAATGTTCAAAAGAAAGGTAAAAGAAAGTTGTGTAAGTTACGCATGTGAAAGGTGAGGTTTGACTTGGGTGTGGGGTTCCATTGGGTTGTTTTGAATCCGTTGTGTTTGCTTTGAGTGCAGTTAGGTAGAATGATGCTTGCAAAGGAGAGTGGTTTATGCTTACTTGAGATGAGGAAAAATGATTGTCCTCTTTCTACCTTTCACCTGCCTGCATGTCAAAAGTATTTGTATTTTGAAGTGAATAATTCTAACGGGTACCGTGAAAGAAACTCATGAAATTAATGAAGATGAAGTCAATTGGACTTAGGATTTCCTTGAGGTTTATCCTTTCTATCCCAAAGGACCTCATCTTCCTATGCTTGTCCAAAATGTGCTTATTATTTAACTCCTCTAACTTTCTTGAAGTTCCTTCGTCCAAGTTACCTTGAGCTTAGGAAATATGAGAACAACTGAAATTTACACGCGGTGGGCACGTTCTCTCTCTAGGAAGCATTTGGGGCGAGGGTTCGTTGCTTTAGGATTCGGCCTTGTTATCGACCCAAAGTGGACCGTTCTACGGGGGGGTACTATGCCGATTCGATGGAGACGGCCCCGACTTCTGAGATCCGAGCTTTGTGCTTGGGCGAGGAGGAGGAGTACCTCATACTACTTCCTAGAGGGTGAGACACTGAACACTTCAAGTAATGCACCTGATCAAGAATCATCTGCAAAGCAGTCTGTCATCATAGAAGACTGAAACATATAAAAACGGGTGTGTGCGTACCTAATCTTAGGTCGGCGGTAGGGTGAAATGGATGACTTTGGCAGCGCGTCTCATCAAGTAAAAACAGAGGTAGTCCGACTACCTTGTCGGTTGCATTGAGGTTATTATCGAAGCAAACTCCTCGTTTGCAACTCAATGTGGTATATATATTTTTTAATTATTTATTGAGTTCGATCCCAGATGGTCGGATTTTATTTCGATCTTCTGTTATTGGTTCTACCATGTGGTGCTCGGGTTCTTTCAGCTATCATTTCAACTCATGTTGGATTCAAATGTGTTTTCCCATCGACTAATGGTCGATTAATTTCGGTATAATTATATTCAATCACGGTAATCTCATTTCGTTGAGTTGTGTGTCTAAGGGACTAGGATTGTGTTGTGGGTTTCACGCTTGCTTGAAACCGTCCTAGTCGATCGGCATGCGCTTCGTACCTAGAAGATCAGCACCCTAGGAAACTAACAGCGTTCAAGCTGAAATGACGTTTTAACCTAGCGTTTCCTATACTGCAGTGAATCGAGCGAACACCATCGACTGACCTACCTCTGCAGTTGCATCTAAAAACTTTCGTACGTGGGTCAACAGCTCGGTAGGGATATGCCCCTAATGGTGGTGACAACCCCTAGGGAAGGTGAGTTGTCCCCCGCGATAACCTATCATGTCGTAGTGGACCGCAGGAAGTACAACTGGCGCACTCGGCTAGAGCGGCGAAGGGACGACGCTACCACGTCCGTCCGGCGGTTCGTGAGACTACTTCCACGTCTTCCTCAAGTTGTCTCTTGTTGTGTTTTGTTTAACTCCTGCATGACGTGGTCGGGAGGGCTCTCGCCTTTCGTGAGAAAGGCGGGAGCCAATGTGCCCGACATAGTTTGGTCAGACGAATGCACTTGCTACCTTCCAAAGATGTATGAACTATCTCTTTCGTGAATGGCTAGATAAATTCGTAGTCGTTTATTTATACGATATTATGATATTTAGTAAGACTCTAGAGGAGCATCAACAACATTTCCGTCTGATCTTAGCAACGTTGAGCACTGCGAAATTCAAGGTAAATCGGAAAAAGTTTGAATGGGCAAAGCGTCAAGTGCTATATTTAGGCCACGTGTTAGATGGAGATGGAGTCAAACCGGAATATGCGAAGATAGCAGCAATCAGGGATTGACCCACACTGCACACATTGACTGAACAGTCGTTCTCAGGATTAGCCAATTACTATCCAAAGTTCATACGAAACTTCACAATGATCGCTGCACTACTGCGTAAACTACTAAGGAAGGAGACAGTTTGGGATTGGGACAAAGACTGTACCTCAGCCTTCAAGAAATTGAAAAAGTTATTGATTGAGTACCCGGTCTTGAAAGTTGCAGACCCATCACTTTCGTTCATTGTCACGACTGATGCAAGCCAATATGGAATTGACGTCGTACTCCAGCAGAACGATGGAGAGGAGTACCGACCCGTCGAGTTCATGTCTTGTAGGTTGCCTAGTGAGAAGGTCGCTGCGTCGACGTATGAGCGTGAGCTATTTGCCTTGAGGGAGGCACTGAACCACTGGCGACACTATCTCCTAGGAAGGCACTTTAAAGTCTACTCTGACCATGAGACGAGACTCTGGTTGAAAACCCAAGCCCAGATGACCCCTAAGTTGACTAGATGGGCTAGCGAGATAGATCAGTTTGACTTTGAGCTGAAACCACTCAAGGGCAAATACTACGTCGTCGCAGACGCGTTGAGTAGACCCGCAAACTTCTTCGTTGCCATCGTCACTTACCTAGATGCAGGCACCGAGCTACAACAACAATCAAGGCTGCATACACTGACGATCCTGTTTACATCGAGCTAATCAAAAGGGTGCAGATTGTGCCACACAAAGTCCCGGACTGCAGAATAACAAACGGACTACCGTTCGAAAAAACAGACAGGTTCAACAGACTGTGCATCCCGAACAACGAGACAGTTAATCCTGGGAGAGTGCCATGACACTGAGGGCCATTTTGGTTAGACGAAAACCTATGCTAATCTCCTCCGGTCCTACACCTGGGTCAGCATGACACACGACTGCATTACCTATTTCCAGGGTTGTCAAGTGTGTCAACGAAACAAAAGTTCCACTCACTCCCCACTTGGCCTGTTGAGGCCACTACCTGTCCCGTTCACTTCATGGACACAAAAGTCAAAAACAGAAACAGGAAGAGTCAAGTGATGGTAGTTGTAGATAGATTTAGTAAATTTGCTGTTTTTATTCCATTGCCCGCTGAGGCAAGGACATATTTAGCGATTAGAGAATTCTTCAATCATTGGGTTAAAGATTACCGACACCCTTTAACGATTGTTAGTGATAGGGATAACAGATTCACGGGCGAGCACTGGCAACAGTTAATGAAAGTATATGGGTCAAAGCTGACCATGTCTTCCGGTAGACACCTGGAGACCAATGACTAGACCGAGCAGATGAACAAACTGCTCCAGGAAGTGCTACGCATGTACATTAGGCCCGACCAGATCGATTGGGACAAACATCTTCCCAAAGTGTAATCGGCGTATAACAACTCGGTGCACTTGTCTACTGCACGCACCCCCCAATGAACTGCACAAAGGTTGGCAACCCCGGCGTTCGATTGACTGTCTGAACCCGGATCAGACTCACAGGTTGCCGCCCGGTACCAGGGAATTCTCTATCCAGTACGAGTAAGAAAAAAAAAAAGAAAAAAAGGACTTAGAACAGGTCAAAAGGAACATCCTTAAAGCCCAACATCAGATGGTGGAGCAGGCAAACAAACACCGATGCCCGTCGCAGTTTGCGGTAGGAGATTTGGTATGGGTAAAATCTAGGGAGTTCGTTCCGGAAGAAGGGATCTAGCAGAAACTGCTTCCTGCATATAGGGGGCCATGGCAAGTCTTAGATGTCGCAGGAGAGGCGGATGGTCCGTCCTACACTATCGAGATTCCACCCCACCTGCATACATATCCAGTATTCCATGCATCTAAGTTGCTTCCCTGTATTACAAACGATCAGTTTCCCTCTCAACGTTCCAAGATTCCACCTGATATGGACGGAGGATATGACGTAGACCGAATAGTGGCTGAAGGTATTTTCCGTACAGGTCGCCGAGGGAGACCACAAAGGCAATACAAAGTCAGATTCACCTATCAGGAACCCAGCGAAGACCGCTGGTTCCCCCGGGAGGAACTAATACAGACAGCCCCTCACATTGTCTCTCTATTATGAGAGGGCTAGACGGGGAGTGAATGTGTATGATTGATAAAGGTATGATTTTTCTCAGAGGACCTCGAAATTACGCCGGCAGGAGTGAAAGGATTCACACTGCAGACACCCAGTCTCGGTCCCAGGGTCCCGACAAGTCCCAAGTCCCAGGGCCATCTGTAGGGTAGGCCATAGGGTCTAGAGACCGAAGTGTCTTAGGTTGGTAGGTGTCGATACCGAAGCATCGTAGGTCGGTAGGAGTCCGTCCGGTACCCAACAAGAAAAGTCCAGAAGCGTTCAGTCCAGTCCGACAGTCCCAAGTCCGATTTTGCAGCATGTCCCAGGAAAGTCCGGAAGCTACCGGACTGACACAATGTTTGCAGCAGACAGGCCGCGGCCAATGGGTACCGGTCTGAAGCAGGCCAAGCCAAGCCAACCGAAGCCAGGCAAAGTCCTATATTTAGCTGCTACAGTGCAGCCGTTCATCACTTGTTCAGTTGCAAGATGCGGACGCGCTGAGGCAACTTGGGCACAATGCACCTGAGGAAGGAGAGGACGCCTGTGAGATACTCCATAGCTAGGCTAGACGTGAAGTAGGAGGCCGGCAGCCAATATCCAGATTTGGGTGAAGTCTCTGGGCGATGTGGTGTGCCCTTATGCATCAGTCAAATGCATCCACTTTCGGGGTTCAACCTCCTGGTGAGTCGCTGAAAGTCCAACGAAAACGAAACAATCTAGCACGGTCACACTTCTTTTGTACAGTTGTATATAAAGTGGACATGAGAACGCAAACACACACAATCATATTGTCTATAACTTCTTTTCTTCCTCTCCTTCTAAGTATTTTCCTTTGTTTCCTCAGTGTCACAGCGCAGCACCTTTGAGATGTGCCAAATAGACAATGATTGTCTGTTAGCAGTATCTGCAAACCTAGGCTACCAGAGTGGCCCTGGTCCACTTGCCTGGCTGGGTCAAAAAGAAATAAAAAATAAAAAATAAAAATTATTTTTTATTTTAAATTTTTATTTTAAATTTGGTAAAGAATTTCGATGTGACCCTGAGGCAAAAGTTTTTCAGTGTAAACTTAAAAAAAAAAAAAAGTTGTTCAGTGTATTTTTCTGCACAACATAATTTGTTTTCGGATTTTTTGGATGTTTTTTTTTTTTTTTTTTTTGGCTGGGACCTTCCCTAGTCCTTGCACGGCCAGGCCGCCGGGGAAAGTAGGGTGACCCGGGCGGCCCGGCTAGTAGCCTAGCTGCAAACACTATTATGGGGGCTGCTGTGTTCAGGATGCATGTGTGTTCCTGTGCTCCCACTATCTTGTCTGACGGTCGTCTCTTAGTCTTGGTGGTGACGGAATTCCATCAAAGCGTTCCCTGATTCATGATGTTGGTGTGAACCTACAGCCTGTATAGACTGCTTTGTCAGTGCTGCACTGCGGCTTGGGCCCCTGTTCACGTACTTTGAATTGCCTTGCTGCCCTTCACCTTGGCCTTGCTGTTTGCCTGCCCGCTTGCCTTCTTTGTCATGTGGTCCATCTGGCCACTTGTTTCGCCTTCTGGATGTCTGCTTGGTTGCCTTGTTGCCTGCCTCCCTGATCACACATCTGCTTGCTGGACTGTGTGCATGGCTGTTGCTCGGGTTGCTGCTTTGCTGCTTTGTTGTTTGCCTTCATGCCCACCTCCAACCCCCACCCTTCCACTCTTTGTTTTGCTGCGGCCTGTTTTGTGTTACTGCTTATGTTTTCACCTGCCTGGCTGCCTCACTCTCAACGGGCGTTGAAAGTAGACCATGACTCGAAGCATCAATATGGGGACTCCACAGGCGGCCGAGGATTTAGCCTCCTGATGGTCAGTCAGAGTCTGCCGCAAGAGTCTGTCACTATCCTTGTTCTTATTTGTTCTTCTTTTCTATGCTAGTCGTGCTATCTAAGTCTTATGTGGGGACTCCACAGACGGCCGAGGATTTAGCCTCCTGGTGGTCAGTCAGAGTCTGCCGCAACAGTCTGTCACTATCCTTGTTTGTATTTGTTCTTCTTTTCTATGCTAGTCGTGTCTTATGTGAGAATTTGTGCTATCTAAGTCTTATGTGAGTATCATCACAAGCCATGGTCGTTTGCATTCATCCTTGCGGGATAGCGGCTCGGAGCACTTTGTGCTTGAGAACACCTTTATGTATTGGCATTGTCACAGTTCTATCTATCAACTTAAAGTGCGCACTTTGCGAAACAAATGAAGAAAGAGTGGATAGCATTGGGGAACTGATTCTTGTGGCTTTTTCTGTGCAGTTATTTCTTCTTTTTTGAAGTTTTTTAACTTTTTTCTTTTTTCTTTTTTCTTTTTTTTCTTTTTTTTCTTCTTTTTTCTTTTTATATTTCTTCCTTTTTCTCTTTTTTTCTTTACACACACACACACACACACACACACACACACACAAGGCCCCTACTATTCTGGGGGCCATCAGTCCAGTTGCTTATTACCGGCAAGCATGAGAGTATGGAAGATAGTCTCTCCTTACTGTGCCTCGAACATACAAGGCTCGCCATGTTAATTGGGTTGAGTGTGAGCTGCCTACATGGAGATAGACACACATCATCACACACACAGGGTGAGGAGCATGACAGCAGCCAGATGGGTTCTCAGCTCTTTTCGGATGGTCTCACAAGAGGGTCTGCCCAAAAAATTCAGAGGCTCGGGGCAACCAACCCAAAATCCCTGCCGACGCCAGCCAAAAAGAAAACAAAACACCGCGCTGCCATTTCGGCAAAGTTTGGTGTGCAGGGGGGTTCCACCTCATACGAAGGAGACACACATGTACTGGTTGTTTAGGTATGATACTCAGGAGGCAGTTAAAGAAAAAGGCTCTACACTGTACAGTGTGCTGTAATATTATTTTAATATATCTCCTTGGATTGGTCTTCTGCTTGTGTTGTGAGAACCATGTAACCCATATGAGCAGAACCCAGACTCCAGAGGCGGTGCTGTGTATATTGGAGCGGATGTGAACAGTGCAGCTGGGTGTGCAAAGGATGTGTGTGTGACATTTATTGACACCATATTCTTCAAGAATCATGCAGCTCGTGGTGGTGCTGTCTTCATTGATGACTCATTCCCGGATTGCTCTGGAGATGGTGGGGGTCGAGCTTTCTTTTTGAACATCAACTTTTATAGCAACAAGGCCATGGTACGCTTTTAGCATAGTGGATTTTTTTATTATTATTTTTTCTTAAACCACCACAACCTCTGATCCTGTTTTTGTCGAACCTGAATTTCACTGCACACCAAGTTTTGCCAAGCCTGAGTCCCATTGTGTTTTCTTTTCTGGTACTCACGGCAGTTGCATCCTAAAAGCGCCTTTACCCGTTCAGACCCTGAATGACGAACGCAGCATAATGGGGCCCACTCAGCCAGAACTCACTTCGTGAAAAGCAGATCAAGAGACATGTTCTCTGGGTCAAAAGTCACATCCTAACTGAAGTGAGGAGCTAGCTGTGTCAAAGGTCACAGTCGTGCCCCAGAACAAACAGTTGCAGCATTCAATTGTGAAAGTCACGTCTGTTCGTCCAGGGGGCTGTGCAAGTCATGTCTGTTCGTGCAGTGGATGTGTCTGTTCGTGCAGAAGTTGTATCTGTTCAAATGGTAGTCAATGGGGTAGAGTCCCAGTCCACCTCAAAGTCCAATAGACAGTCCAGATTCAGACCAAAAGTCCAAACTTCAGGCCAAAGGCCGCAGCAGCAGCAGACCCTGAGGGAAAGATACTGGGACACATTCTGCAGTGGTCTGGGACTGGGGAAAGACCCAAGGAAGGCTGATTCAGACYTCGCGAAGGGAGACCAGCACTATAAAAGACCMGGCCAGMCTCCYCACACGACAGATCTCCACTGGCAKTRATGCGTGGAAGTGCTGAAGCACTTGTGCGCTAGCATGCAGGGAGAATGCGCTGGCTGGAAGCTGCGCAAGCAAAGGAAGAAGAGGCTGGGCGCTGACTGGCAGAAGCAGCCATAGCTGCGCCAGCATTATTAGTAGAAGTAGAGGGGTTAGTAGTAGACATCGGTGAGTAGCATTCAGAGTAGATTCTTGTAGGTAGGGAGTGTGCATGAATGGTGAGACGAGGGAACCAGGACAGAGATCTTAAGAGAAAAGAGAGAAAGAGAAGACAAGTTGGATATGGTGGATACTTACCTGTTGGCGCCATACTTGTGATCTGAGGGTAGACGTTGGCTGAGCCAGGCCCTATATTGGTGATTGAACGAGGGAGACTTGTAATCTATTGGCGCTGAACTCTTGAACTCGAGATACTCTTTGTATAATGTGATTTTGATAATATGAGCTGCGCTATCTGGTTCTCATCTCATCTCAACTTGGCTTTGTGTGAAACCTTTCTATCTGAGTGTTGACATCTATGCATGCAAAGTGATACACTCCAGCAAGCTGTGAACAGTCAGGTTCCTTACAATTTGGTATCGGACCATAACTTGTTGCGCTCACTGAAGTGTTGGCATGAGTAAGGCCGGCCAGGAGGATATGCTGGCTTGAAGATGCTGGCTATGGTGGAAGGTTGAGAGGTGAAGTGGATAGGGATTAGGAGGGAGTAGAAAGCCGAAGAGGAAGGGGCTAAGAAGGAGATCTTACCTGCACGTGGAGCCTGGGGCGTGGAGCGATCAAGGAGACTTCATCGACATCTGCAAAAGAAGAGAAGAACCTTTTTCCCCTTACCTGGCTGCATGTAGAGTTGTGTTGAGTACCTCTACCTCCCCTCATCTCTGGTGGTCGCTGCTGTTGTCTGGTCTACACTCGGTCCGGTCTGGTCTGAAGGTCAGGACTCAAGTGTCTGGGCACGTCAGAGTTGAGAGCCGGCCGGAGTCCTTGTCTGGTCCTGTCATCCTGACATCCGATCTGACATCTGCGCTATAGGAATTAGTTAAAATAAGAGAAAGTTGGGGGTTGTAGCAAAGTGTCACGTCAAGTTGCAAGGTATAAGGCATAGTCGAACTGGGCAGAAATGATATTTGATTGAAGTATTGTCCAGGGCATCTGACATAGAGAACACTGCAGCTACTCTCTGCGCAGGAGGACAGACAAACGAGAGTTAATTAAAGACAGAAGAGAGAGACAAAGCCAGACCAAAAGGAGAGAGAGAGAGAGGTGGTAATCAAGTGAGACACAGACAGCGAGTAAAAAAAAAAAGTCCTATTGCATATTGAAAGTTTTATATTCTATGAAATTCGTTATTCCTAAAGCAGCGATATCCAGAGTTATAAAAAAAACAAAAACAAGGCAGATCCCATCCGCATAAAGTTAGTATAGTACTTGGGTTGTCTACTTGCTGGGCCAGCGGAGGCCGTTCCTGTGCTGTCACTCAGCATGGATGACTATCCTATGCAAGGGTTCTTGGCCCTTTCTGTGTTGATGGGCCCCCTCTTCAGACTTTTCTTTCCCCTGGGTTTTGGGAGGATTTGTACCTCCCGCATGATGATGAGGTCAGGAGCTATAAAACCAAGACCCACGCCTGCAGAACAGGTTGAAGTAGAACACCGGCAGGTCGAGAAACGGAAAGAGAAGGAGTTAAGGATGAAAAAGAAAGAAGAGGAAGTAAAGAAAATGAAAGAAGAAAGGGAAAAAATAGAAAAAGAGATGAAAGAAAGGGAAGGGAAACTTCAGGAAGAACTGAAGGCAGTGGAAGAAGAAGACGAAGTGGAGTCCGAAAGTGGTGGAGTGCTGCACAGACGCCGTACAGAGAGAGAAGAAACAAGCAAAGCTGGCGGCATCAGAATAGAACTGGAAACCCTGAACTGACTTGACCAGTTCGGCTACAAAACGGTGATGGTTGTTGAGTCGGAGGAGGAGAGAGAAGCCTTTGCTGCAAAGTTGGTCGGTGTAGAAGATCCTGCAGAGAGATACATCCTCATTCAAGAAAGAAAAACAGAATTAAATAACAGGATGGTTGCAACAAAACGGCAAGAATTCGAAGAGAAAAAAAGATTAAAGGAAGAGGGGGAGAATTTTCAAGGACAACTACAGGGGCAGAAAGAACAACAAACTACAGCGGATGAACGACTCACCCTCCTTACTAACACCCTCCTCCAAACTAACAAGCAACTCGTTCCTTTGTCAAAGAGTGTGTAGAAACTTGAAAATCACTAGTTTGAGTTTGAAGGAGTGTGGAATAACTTCCTGCAGAGGTCTGCCGAAGAGGTGGAAAGACATATGATCATCTGCATAGAAAAATTGGATAAGCAGTTGGTAAAAAGGTTATCAGATCCCTCCGTAGCCAGGAAATTATTAGGTGGCGGCGGAGGAGATGGAGGAGACGGAGATGGGGGAGATGGAGACAATAAAGGAAAGGGAGTGCAGCGAGAAGAAAGTGGGGATGTGAGAAAAATTAAAGTTAAAGTGTCGTGGACTTACACAGGCAAGAAGGAGGAGAGTGTCTTACATTGGATTGCTGCCGTAGAGTCTTATGTATACGGACAGCGCATTCCGTATTGGGACAGAGTCTTGATGGTCACTTCGTGTATGGTCGGCGGCGCAATGAGCTTCGCCATATCGTTGCAAAAAGAAGCTAACTGTCAAACTATGATTGAATACTCATAGCAAACGAGAATTGAAGATTTTTTCAAAGTTGTCAGAGAAAGATTTAAAGATAAAAATTTGGCACGTAGAACAAAAATGTTGATATTAAACATTGCGGATCGGAAATGGAAGAGTGCGTCGGCACTCAAAGCAATGATGGATGAACTTTTACAATGCGCTGAACATAGACTCACTCCTACTTAAATTCTCAATAACTTCGCTAGGGCACTACCCGACCCTCTCGATACTCAACTTTATCCCCGCACAAAGGAAGAGGGGATGACATACGAGAAGTTCAGCAAGATCACTATAGATCATGCTGGCTTCTTAGCCGAAGCTAACTACTGCCATGATTGGAAAGATCTGCAAGCGGGTAAGAAGTGGGAGAACCGCACTATCTCAGGGAATACCTGGGAAAGACAACCTTCTTCTTACCTTTGAAGAAGGAGGTGTCGAGACTCTCTCCTATGACCAGATAGACTATGGTCTGGAGGGAGGACCCAACGGTTCAGTAGTTTAGGAGGGGGACTACACGGCCGTTGCAGCCCGCGGGGGAGGGCGACAAGGAAGAGGCCGTGGCCGAGGAAGAGGAGGCCGTGAATGTGGTGGAAGAGGATCCGGCACCCAGAGGGGTGGTGGCGAAGGTAGCTAGTACGTGGGTGGAAGGGGCAATGGTCCCTCGCAAGGTGGCCATGGTTCCAATTTTACCTGGGGAAGAGGACGCAACACTTGGTATGGTAACAAGGATAAGCCATATCCGCCCCATCCAGGTCTGCCCGAAGGGGAGCCTTGGAAGAAATTGGGGATTACAGAAAAAGTTTGGCAAGAAAGGAAAGTTGCCGACCAATGCCTTAAATGTGGTGACCCCAACCACATTGTTCCCTATTGCCCAGATTATACGATACTAAAAGGGAACAACCAGTAGAGGTTTCAGTTGCCTCTACCGGAACTTCGGATGTAAATAGAAAGACATCCTCCCATCCGAAGGTTCCTCAGGCAGAAACTGATAAGACAGACAATCCTCACCTAGTTAACTGTCCAAAGGTAGTAAGTGTGTGCACCTCTCTAGGTGGATCCCTCGCTGACATGGGTGATGAGTTGGTCGCTTGTCACCAAGCCTGGAATGAGATGAAAAAACGAAGAGGACAGTTAATAATTGTAGATCTCGAAGTAAATAAAGTAAGAGTTGGAGGTATGATTGACAGCGGGTCAACACTCAGCTATATAAGTAAAAAGGGTTTGCAAAAGCTGCGACTTGGGCTTAAGGTAAAACAGTTAGATGAGCCCGTAGTGAGTAAACTAGCTAATAGTACTGTAATTGTAATGGATAGATATGTTGAAGGGGTCCAAATATACTTCCGGCTCGAAGCAGAGGGGAAGGTGGAACGCGTTCTCCACTCTCTGACTCTCTTGGTGGAAGATAATCTTCCTTTTGACATTCTTTTAGGCATGGATTGGGGTGAAGCTGCAGATGCGGATATAAAGTTAAGGGATCATGAGTGTTGGCTCCCTAATCCTCAGTGCCAACTCTTACCCTCAATCTCCTTTCCTAACGCAACTTCTCTGCTCAACACTGCACTTCCCCGCTTCAGCACACAAGTGTCGTAACAT